CCCTTCTAGAGGCAATTAAACAGCTACCCCAATATGCTAAATATTTTAAAGAGTTATGCACTTCAAAAAGGAAATTAAAAGGAAACAAAACATTTAAAGTAAGCGAGAACATTTCAGCTATTTTACAAAAAAGGTTACCCCCAAAGTGTAAGGATCCAGGAATATTTATTGTTCCTTGCAAGTTGGGGAACCTTTAAGTTCCACGAGCTATGTTGGACTTAGGAGCGTCAATAAATGTTTTGCCATACTCACTTTTTAAAACTATTGGGGTAGGGCCTTTAAAAAGAACAGGAGTTATTATTCAGTTAGCTGATCGTTCTCTAGTGCACCCAAAAGTTGTCATGGAAGACGTTTTGGTTCAAGTGAATGAATTCATATTCCTAGCTGATTTCTATGTTTTGGATATGGACTCACCAAACTCAGGTTCCATTCTTCTGGGGAGACCATTTTTAAAAACTGCCAGAACCAAAATGGATGTTTATGATGGTACCCTTTCAATGGAATTTGATGGTGAAGTTATCAACTTCAATATTTATGATGCCATGCATTATCCTGATGATGTTCAACCCTTAATTTTATTGATGTAATTGAACCACTAACTGCAGAATATTTTGAGATTGCTAACCGTGAGTAACTAGAACTAGTGCTCCACAGAAACTTGTCTATTAATGCAACCTAGATTATATCAGAAAATTATGTGGTTGATAGTGAGGTTCAAGAAATGGCTGCTCATATGGACCAGTAGAGAAAATTGAGGTATGGTACCCAAACTCTTAAATTACCAATTTCTAACTCCAAGCTTTTCCCTTCTATAGTTCAAGACCCCATCTTGGAGCTGAAGACACTTGCAGAACATCTGAAATACGCATATCTGGGAGAAAAAGAAACATTACCAGTTATCATATCTAACAAGATGTCAGAAAAAGAAGAGTTAGAGCTGATCAGAACTTTGAAGGAGTATAAAAGTGTAATTGGGTGGACTATTGCAGACATCAAAGGACTCAGTCCATGTCTATGCATGCACAAAATTTTGATGGAAGAAGATTATAAGCCATTGCGAGAAGCCCAACGCAGATTAAACCCACCAATGATGGAGGTGGTTAAAAAAGAAGTTACGAAGTTATTGGATGCTGTGATGATATACCTAATTTCTGACAACAAGTGGGTCAGCCCAGTTCAGGTTGTTCCTAAGAAGGCTGGAGTGACAATGGTAGAGAATAAAGAAGGAGAGTTGGTTCCAACTCGGGTTCAGAACGGATGGCGCGTTTGTATTGACTACAGAAAATTAAACGCAGCCACCAGGAAACATCATTTTTCTCTCCCATTCATAGATCAGATGCTAGAGAGGCTTGCTGGAAAATCCCACTACTGCTGCTTTGATGGTTTTTCAGGTTTCCATCAGATTCCGGTTGCTCCAGAAGACCAGGAGAAAACAACCTTCACCTGCCCTTTCGGGACATTCGCGTATCGGCGTATGCCATTTGGAATCTGCAACGCACCTACCTGTTCAAAGGTGTATGGTTAGTATATTTTCTGAGTACATTGAAAACACCATAGAAGTCTTCATGGATGATTTTATCGTCCACGGAGACTCATTTGATATTTGTCTAAAAAACCTCACAAAAATTTTACAAAGAAGTATAGAAATAGACAAGGTCTTAAATTTTGAAAAATGTAACTTTATGGTTGACCAAGGTCTTATTCTAGGACATATTGTTTCAAAAAGAGGTTTGGAAGTCGATAAAGCAAAAATAGATGTTATAAAGAGCTTACCCTACTCGAAGAATGTTCAGGAAGTGCGTTCCTTTCTTGGCTATGCAGGGTTTTATAGGATATTTATAAAAGAATTTTCGAAGATATTAGTTCCTATGTGCTAGCTATTGCAGAAATATGTTGAGTTTGACTTCAATGAATATTGCAAGAAAGCTTTTGATGTGCTGAAAAATTTTCTTACTTATGCCCCCATCATTCAGCCCCTAGATTGGAGGTTACCATTTGAGATAATGTGTTATGCCAGTAAAACTTCTGTTGCAGCTGTCCTAGGACAGAGAAGAGACCAGGTTCCCCACATTATATATTATTCATCAAAGACTTTGGACAGCGCGCAAGAAAACTACTCCACCTCTGAAAAAGAGTTGCTGTCAATTCTTTTTGCACTGGAAAAATTTAGACATTATTTGTTAGGCACAAAAGTCATAATCTTTTCGGATCACGCAACCATTCATTACCTTCTTGCCAAAAAGGACTCCAAGCCAAGGTTGATTAGATGGATTGTACTGCTACATGAATTCGATATAGAGATTAGGGATAAAAGTAGGAGAGAAAATTTGGTAGCTGATCACTTGAGCCGACTGACCCCACCTGAAGACCCGACACCGATCCGCGAAACATTTCCTGACAAGCATCTATTCATTGTTCAGAACCTTCCTTGGTTTGCGGATATTATGAACTATTTGGTCTCTAGAGAACTCCCTTTAGATCTCACCCGAGCCCAGAAAGATAAAATCAAGAAGGAGGCTAAAAGATATGTTTGGGACGAGCCGTATCTATGGAAACATTGTGTTGATCTGGTGATTAGAAGATGTGTAACTCAAGATGAAGTCAAGTCAATCCTGAATGTTTTCCATTCAGAATCTTGTGGAGGGCATTATGGTCCGCAACGAACCGCACGCAAGGTCTTGGATAACGGTCTTTATTGGCCTCATATTTTTCGCGACTCTTTCCTATTTTGCAAAACGTGTGAAAGATGTCAAATGACTGGGTCTTTGACATCTCGTAATCAAATGCCACTTACTCCAATGTTAATATGTAAAATCTTTGACGTTTGGGGTATAGATTTTATGGGTCCGTTCCCGCCTTCTTTCGGGTTTGTGTATATCCTACTTGCTGTGGATTACGTGTCCAAATGGGTCGAGACAAAAGCTACACGAACCGATGATGCCAAGGTTGTTGTTGATTTTGTCTAGACAAATATATTTGCTAGGTTTGGGACACCAAAAGCCATTATTAGTGATCAGGGTACGCATTTCTGCAATCGCACCCTCGAAGCCGTCCTCAAGAAATTTGGTGTCACACATTGGGTATCCACAACATATCACCCGCAAACCCATGGACAGGCTGAAGCTTCAAACAGACAAATCAAGGGCATTATAGAGAAAACCATCAATCTGGTTAAGAAACATTGGAGTATTCGTTTAGACGATGCGTTATGGGCTCACCGGACAACATACAAGACTTCTATCGGTATGTAACCATATCAAATAGTTTTTGGAAAACCTTGTTGATTACCGGTCGAATTGGTGCATCGAGCATATTGGGCTATCAAGAATCTGAATATGAGCATGAATGAGGCTGGTAAGAAAAGAAGATTGGATATTCAAGAGTTGGAAAAAATCAGGAATGATGCTTACGAGAACGAGGCAATCTATAAGGAAAAAACGAAAGCGTTCCACGATAAGATGATCTCGCGAAAGGTATTTACTGCTGGTCAAAAGGTACTGTTATACCGTTCTCGTTTCAAACTTATTTCTGGTAAATTTAGGTCTCATTGGGTGGGGCCTTTTGTTGTTACTAACTTGTTCGATCATGGTGCTATAGAAATTAAGAGTGAACAAACAGGAAAAATCTTTAAGGTGAATGGCCATCGTCTCAAACCATTTTACGAAGGGTTCCAAGTCACAAATGAAGAAGTGGAGGTATTCGAGGTCCCGACTTACCGCAACTAAGGGAACCAAGTAACAATGTCGAGCCAACAACAGTAAAAACGGGCAGCTTGCCGGGAGGCAACCCGAGCACTTGTTTTGATTTTAATTTTGCAACTTGTTCATAATTTCTGTGTGTTTTTAGTTTTTTTGGGTGCTTCTTTTTAATTGAATCGTGTTTTAAAATAAAAAGGAACAGAGAGATTTTGTAAAAAGTTGAAAAATAAGGTTTTGGTGGAACCTGCGACCGCAAGTCCAGTCCTTGCGATCGCAGGTTATACAGATTAGGGTCGCAGCTCGCCATCAAAGTTTTTTTGAAAGATTTTCACATGAATAACAAACATGCGATTGCAGGTATCAGTTTTTTTGCCCATGACGGTTTTGCACATTTTTAAAAAATGATTCAAACACTATTTACCAAACCTGTGATCGCAGGTCTTGTCCTTGCGATCGCAAGTATCATTTTTATTGGGTTTTTCACCGTTACAAACATCGAAAAAGTGACAACGGCTATATTTGACCAACCTACGATCGCAGGTCCTCCCCTTGTAGTCGCAGGTTTCGATTTCCCTATAAATAATGGTCGCAAGCCTGATTTGTTACCACCACATTTCAAAAACACTCTCTGAAATCCTTTCTTTTTCGAGTTCTTTCACCACAAACACCCAAATCGTTCGTTTTTTGTCCAAATCAAGAAAAAAAGGTATCATTCGCTTCTACTTTACTCCTACAACATCTTTACGGTAACGAAATCACGTTTTCACGGTTGAAATTCTTCAAAAATCTTATTTTGTTCATCTTGAAATTTGAATTTTTGCAATTTCTTTTTCAGATCTACGTTCCGTTACTCATCTGTAGGCCACGAAAGGTAGAAATGTTTGCTCATGACGCAATTCAGAAGAGATTCATCCGAACGGAATTTCAAAATTCAAAAATTTTTACAGCACAAAAAATATATTGTTGCTCAGCGCACAGTCAGGTATTTTCGTTCTGCCACTGAATTTCTATTTTTGTTTATATATTCGTGCAGTCGTTTGGGAGTAGTTAGAAATACTTATTTTCATATTATTATTATTTTTACCTGGAAATTGTGCCTACCTTGTCCCAATCCACCTTGAAAAACACCCCCTCGACTATCTCGGTCGTTCACGTAGACAGGTTGACGCTCCACAGTCGTCATACACAGTCTAGGTGGACAATGTCACTCTAGACTTAGGTTCACAGGCTGCACTTGACTGTTACTAGCGGCTCCTTGACCGCGAGTTTATGCCACAGGCCTGGGCCCCTAGCCGCTCACTCATGCAGGAACTCCATATTCATTATGGTGTTCACACTCTTTTTTCCAATATTGGCTGGGAGCGCCTATTATCTGCGGATTTTGCCACTTGTCCTCTACTGAACCGAGAGTTTTTGGCTACTCTTAGTGAGGTGAATCATGAGGGAAACATAGCTTTTCGTATCTTTAACACCCCTCACACTATTCACGTCGACCAGTTATGTACTTTTTCCATACCCCTATCACCAGTTTATCCCAGCCCACTCCCCCTTTCAACGTCCGTGAGTTTTGGTACTCCATTACCGGTTTGCCGTCTTACGATTCGACCTCATCCGTATAGACCAGTATTATGCACCCTGTTCTCAAAATTGCATTGAAAATTATATGCAATATTATTTATGCACAGATTGAGACTATGAAAGTCGGCAAAGCCGAGCTTTTTCTTTTGTGGTGCATGATCACCAGGTCGCATCGCCCGCATTTTGGTGATGTTATCATCAAATGTTTCCATAGAGTTATCTCCCTTCGCACCCGCGGTGCAATTTGTTGTGGTGGTTTGATTTTTATCATTGTCCGCGTCCTCACGGTGCCATCTCCTCCGGGGTACACCTTTTTCACGGGTGATTCTTTCCGTTTGACCCTGCAGACCCTTAGGTCTATGCATATGCTTCGTCCTGCCCCAGGAGAGTATGTTTGGATGTTGGGTCGCTCCCTGTATTTCAAGGTCACTGGACCTGGTGACATAGCTCTTGCTGAACCCATTAGCGAGACTGAGTGGGTGCTCTCTTCAAACATCCAATTACCACCTCGCCCACGTAGGGAACCGTATGCACAATCTGATCGACCATCTTCATCCACTCAACACCCAGACTATGCAGACGCCACACCTATATCCTTTACCCATCCTGATCCTATGCATACTGATTTTCAGGATCAGCCCCCACCCACTCAGCCATCTCAACCTCACCCAAACTCCCCTTTCACTTACCAGCAATTATCGGTTATGACAATCAAATTTCCGCAGACTGATTTTTTATTATCTAAGGCTGGGGTCTCGAATCACGGTGTCTTGGGTCCCCTGGTTATGACACCTGATGACTGAGTATGCACAATCTGATTGTCATCTTATTTTCAGGATCAGCCCCCACCCACTCAGCCATCTCAACCTCAAGTCACTTTGGTATTTCTTATTAGTTAAGTTTTTGTTTTAGTAAACGTGTGTCTAGGTTGTTCTAGTATTGCCTTTAGCCCGAATTCTGTTTCCATAGTTATCGTTTCCTTACTTGAGGGCAAGTGAGGTGTAAGCTTGGGGAGGTTTGTTAGATGCATTTTATATGCATCTTCTAGCACAATTTCCTACGTATTTCATATAAAAAGTTAATTAATTCCTGATTATTCTTATGTATTTTGTGTTTCATGATTATTTTGAAGAATGCTCGTATTGCTCACGTTTATTATGATTTTTTTACGACCATTTGGAGCACATGGATGATTGCGCAAGTTCGGTATGCGTTCGTGGATGCTTAGGAGCTTAATTGGAGTCTAAACCAAAGAAGGATACCGGGAAATGATCAAGAACTGCTTGAAAGGAGGAAGGACGATCAAAAGAGCCAAAAGAAGTAACTTGCGATCGCAAGTCCAGTCCTTGCAATCGCAGGTATGTCCTTGTGATCGCAAGTTGCCTTCGTAGATTTGTCGATCCAAAAAAATTCATCAGTAGAGAAAAAAGAGATACTTGTGATCGCAGGTATAGTCCTTGCGATCGCAGGTTGGTCAATTTGCATCGAAATAGCAATTTACTTCATTAAAAAAATCTTGCGACGTACTTTTGTGTGATACATGCGATCGCAGGTATACCCCTTGCGATCGCAGGTGCGGTGTTTTGACAGCTAGACGTATAAATACTGCTTGATACTCTTCTAGTAACCCTAATTGGCGATTCCTGGCGATTCAGAGGCGATTTTCAGAGGTTTCCAAGTGAAGAGCGCAAATCTAAAGGTGACGGTTCGATTTTCATTCGTATTTTAGTAAGATTTATCGTTTAGACTCTATTTCCACCGTTTGTAATTCGTTTTTAGCCATGTGTCGCTAAAAACTCAAATTTCAGTTTCGCCAGACGTAACCTCTTCGTATGATTAATCATGAAGCACTATGATTGACTATGATTACTGTTTAGTTTGATCAATTATGTGTTAATTGAATGTCTGATTTTGATTTCAGTTTCTGTTGGCCAATTAAATTGTTTGTAAATCATTCTAGTCATCTAATTGTTTAGATCCGTAATTGTCTAGACTAATTAGTAAAAAGTGACAAGTATTAGATTAATTCAAAGATTAGGGTTAATTCTGATATGAATTGATCAAACAAGTTTTAACGCCTCCGAGCTTATGAGAGGTATTGAATTTTACTGGGAATTACACTGTGTCTAATGCAACTTTTCTTTGTTAATCAAGCGCTTGGTTGGTTAATTCAGTAAAAAAGTTAGGTTTAATTTGAAGAAATTATTTTGATTAAATGATTCTTTGTAACAAAGGTCATTAGAGATTGTTAATGAACTTTAGTACCAGTTTAAACAAGTGCATAGTCAATTATTGTGTTGAAGATTAATTATATGATTAGGGGTGTCGCTGCGAAACTGAAATTGCTTTCTCTCATTTGAATTTTCATCACTTTAAATTTAGTCCTTTTCTTGTCATTTTCAATCTTAGTTAGTTTAATTTTCAAAAACAAATCCCCTCCCTTTTTATGTTTATCGCATTCACCAAGAATCGGTTCACACCTTGCGCAAAGTGGTGTAAACATTAGTATGTGTCCCTGAGGATTCGATCCTGCTTACCTGTACTATTTGTTAGTGCAATAAAGCAGTTTATTTTATACTTTTATTTGTTTAAATCGTGTATGACAGCGGTTCTAACAATACCTCCAAAAGATCAGAAATGCGATGAAGATGAAAGATCTAAGCTGGAACCAAGAACATAAGCACCAAAAAGGACTCCTTCTTCCTTTAATCTTCACAAAAGTGGACTTACTCACTCAAAACACACATATAAAGGCAAGGGTTTTGGATGGGTTATGATCTCAGAGGGCGGAGGCTGCCAAATTAGGAAGCCTTAGGAGTTTGTGCCCTTAAATAGGGTACAAACCTAGAGATCTAGAGTTTTTCACCAAAATAGCTACCACGTTGTGGCGCTTCACAGCTCCACGTTCTTAGTTGGAAGATGCCACATCGTGGGGCTTCAGCCACCACGTCGTGGCCCACCCACAAACCCTCACAATTATATTTAATAAATTAAACTTGGAAAAATCATTACTTAGAAAATCGGATGTTAGAACTACTAGGTGTCCTATCATACCTATGTGCTTAAAGAGCCTAACATTAAACTTCCCAGACTCTTCTCCTAGGATCCTCTTTATCCAGGTTCTCATATTCCTAGAAGTCTTTACTATCATTGATAGTCATCTCGTGTATGAAAGTCGTATGTAATCCATGATTCCTTAGATAGTCGAATAATGATTCTAATTTAATCCCACAACCAAACAAGGAGCAAAAACTAAGGCTAAATGAAGCATTTTATAACTATAGAATCCTAGTTATGTAGAACTCTAAAGCATACAATTAAAAACTATATAACTTTAGTACATGTTTCAAGTAACACATAACAAGCAATTCGTAAGGCTATAAAGCATTCTAGATATCAGACAAATCTATCATGCAATTTGTGAAAGATCCTTAGCCTACATACCAGTATGCATTTCTAAAAATTTGCATATTAACAAATATAGGAAGTATGGATATGTTGGGAATCACTTTCCTTTTTGAGCCATGGATGATTGTACGCATTGCATCTTTCCGTTATGTATAAAACTTTTTTTCAAAAGGTTTGTAAAAGAAATTGTCAAATCTTTAGTTTGAGTTTGGAATCACTCGAGTTTTCATCCAAATCCCTCAAACCAAGGCTCTGATACCAGTTAGTAATGTCCTAATTTTCAACCCAAAGTTTTCATTTTTTTTAAATGGAACAACTCAAAAACCCTTCTGCATTAAAAGACCATAGTTGCACATTCATTTACAATATCATGAAAGCAAAATAAAGAGTTTAGCGGAAGTCTTAAAACATCATGAAATATATGTAAAATGTTTGATGAACTAAATAAATCAACTTTTTAAAATTGTGTTTATTTTTTTTAATTCAGAAAAAAAATCATTTATATTTCTAAAATAATAGTTAACAAAGGATTTTTTTCAAAAAATGTATAGAGATAGATCCTAAAGATTCATTGCTTTGAGTCATAGCACATACATTGAAAAAGTCCTTAAACACTTTTCAATGGATAACTCAAAACGAGGAAGTGTACTAATACTGCTTGGCACCATTATTTCTAAGGTTAACATTCCTAGCACTGAAGACGAGATCAAAAGAATGAGTCGCATACATTATTCTTTGGCATTATGTTTAATTATGTATGGTATGACATGTACAAGGCCGGATGTTGCTTATGATATTAGTCTAACTACTTGGTATCAAGCTAATCCTAGTGAAAAACATTGAATGGCTATTAAGAACATACTTAAGTACTTAAGAAGCACTAAAGATATGTTTCTAGTTTATGGAGGAGTTTAAGAATAGCTTATTGTAAGATGTTACACTAATGTTGGTTTCAACACTGATCGAGATAACTCACGATTATAATTGGGATACGTGTTCACACTTAATGGAGGAGCCATTTCCTAGAAAACTTCAAAGCAAGAAGTGGCCGCACTTTCTACAACAAAATCAGAGCATATATCTGCATGTGAGGTAGCTCAAGAAGTTGATTGGATGAAGAAATTCATCGGTGATCTGGATGTTGTTCCATGCATAAAAATGCCATTGAAATTCTTTGTGACAACACCAGTGTTGTCATTATCACAAGAGACCCGATGATTACCAACAAAACTAGACACATTCAACGGATATTCAATTTCATTCGTCAAGAACTGGAATAGGGAAATGTATGCATTGAAATGGTTCATACAGATGATAATCTGGCAGATCCATTCATGAAGGCTCTTTATCAAAATAAGTTTGAGAGTCATGCAAAAGGAATTGCTCTTCGATTATCTAGTGATTGGATTTATATATGTACTTTGCTAATATCTAGATATTCAGAACTATGTAGCAATGATATGCAATCTCCTTTGATATATGAGATATCTCTTTTGTTTTAAATATTATTGTGTTCTATGATAGTGTAACACCCGGTTCTTGGAACATATTTAAATTCAAGTAATTTCATGTTTTGCTCTGGGACTTAGCAAGTTGGACGCCCAATTCGTCGAGTAGACTCGATTTTGACTGGGTGGTTTAGTGACCTACTTGACGAGTCGGGAAACTGACTCGACGAGTATGGTTGTCTGGATGAAACCCTAATATTTAGGGTTTGCACCCTATTTAAACAACTTATCTTGTCTCAACCGAGCCTGCATCATCCCTCCCCAACTCAGAGAAACCCTAAATCGAAACCCTAACCTTGTTTGAATATTCTTGAGCCTTTTTTGTGTGCTTTTGGTGATCGTGAAGCTTGAGAAGGAAGAAGGAGCTTGGAAGTTCGAGTGGAAGCTATTAGATTTAGAGGTTGTGCCCCATTTCCATCTCACATGAGGTATAAAGCTGAAACCTTGACCATCTATCTCTTAGATCTTTAGTTAGGGTTCATTTCTAACTTTTCTAAGCCTTAGAGGTGCTATACTCAGAATTTTGTGGTCCATTGAGGGTATAGCTTCAGATCTGGAACCATTGGGGGTTCTTATGGCATAAAGGTGCCAACTTTATTGCCATAAGCAGTCCATGCATCTTGTAGACTTCATCCTAGAGCCATTTGGGCCAAATACCCCATGCATGGACGTCAAGATTGGAACTTTACATATAATATGGACCCTAGGAGGTTAGATCTATGGTTTGGATGCATTAAGACTGATTAAAATCAACTGTATAGTTTTGGACAAAGAGGGACTCGGCGAGTCGCTTAGGTGACTCGGTGATTCAGGTCGCAGTTTTCCCCAAACGTCTTCTGGAAATGGTCTTTGGTTGAGTTGAAGTAAAACTCGACGAGTTCAAGGAG